AAGTCAAGATAAAAAATGCGCTGTTGAAATCCAAGATATGTTTCTATTTTTAAAAGAAATGAATGAAGGCAATACTAATGATGCTAACGATGACGAAAATTACGACTTTAGATTAGATGATACAAATGATAACTCAGACCATGTAGACAGTATTATCAATTGTGAAATTGTCGAAGAAGAAATAATAGCGGCTATTCAGAAACTTAAGAATGGTAAAGCCGCAGGGTATGATAACATTCTAAATGAACATATTTCTACAACATTGTCAACGTTTTTACCATTGTATAAGAAATTTTTTGATATAATTTTTGATAGTGGTTTCGTTCCAGATGAATGGTTAATTGGTATTGTTAGACCGATATATAAGAATAAGGGCGACCCAACCCAGCCTGAAAATTATCGTCCTATATCTCTGCTAAGCTGCCTAGGCAAACTTTTTACCCGCATATTGGCGAATAGACTAGAAATGTATGCAAACGAGGTTAACCTTCTAAATAATAATCAAGCAGGTTTTAGGAAAAATTACTCAACATTAGACCATATTTTAACTTTGCAATTTCTATCTGATATCCTTATGAAAAGAAAAAAGAAACTTTTTTGTGCATTTATTGATTTTAAACAGGCATTTGATACTGTATGGAGAAACGGTTTGTGGAATAAGCTATTCAGAAATGGTATTAACGGTAAATGTTTCAATTATATAAGGAATATGTACATGGGAATTAAGTCTTTAGTGAAACAAAATGGAATGTCCTCGGGATTTTTTGAATGTAATGTCGGGGTAAGACAAGGCGAAAATCTGTCACCTTTTTTATTTTCTTTGTACATAAACGATCTTGAAGAATTTTTGGTAGAAAAGGACATAGTCGGATTACAAACTATTAGTAAAGAAATTGAAGATGAATTATTACTACATTTAAAACTTTTGATTTTATTTTATGCTGATGACACTGTTATTTTGGCAGAATCTGCTGATGATTTAAAAAAGGCATTGAATGAATTCTATACTTATTGTACTCAATGGAAACTTAATGTGAACGTTGATAAGACAAAAGTCATGGTTTTCTCCAAAGGGGCAATGTTAAAGAGGAAATTTTATTACAATACCCAAAATATTGAAAATGTAAAAGAATTTAAATATCTAGGAATTGTATTATCAAGAACAGGTTCATACTGTAAAGCGAAGAAACATCTTTGTGAGCAAGCACAGAAAGCAATGTACGGGGTGATAAGAAAAATTAGACAATTTAATTTACCGATCGAATGTCAGCTTGACTTGTTTGATAAAGTAGTCACACCCATCTTACTCTACGGATGTGAGATATGGGGCTATGAAAATATGGAAATAATTGAACGTGTTCATTTAAAATTCTTAAAAACTATATTTAATTTGAAAAGTTCTACACCAAATTACATGATTTACGGAGAAACTGGAAGATTCCCTTTGTACATCAATGTTTTTACGAGAATGATTACTTACTGGTCAAAGATGTTTACATGTGCAGAAGATAAAATTGTCAATATTGTGTACAAGTATATGTATAACCAATTAAGTAACGATGGTATTAAATGTCAATGGATTGAATGTATTCAAAAAATTCTAAATAATTGTGGACTTTCATTTATATGGAATGAGCAAGGTGTTGTCAATGCTAAATGGCTAAGTGCTATTGTAAATCAGAATTTAAAAGACCAGTTCATTCAAAAATGGTCAAATGACATAAATAGTTCTTCCAAAGGCCAGATTTACAGAATTTTTAAAACCAATTTCGGATTTGAAAGCTACATTAAAAATTTACGCCCAAAACAAAGAAAGCTATTGATGAAAATGCGTACTTCAAATCATCATCTACCTGTCGAAACAGGGAGGTGGTGTGGCACCCCATTAAATGATAGAGTATGTTTAGTTTGTAACAATGGAAAGATAGGCGATGAATACCACTACATTTTAGAGTGTACAGCTTTTTCAGAGATAAGAAAAAAATTTTTACACAAAAGTTACTGCACCAGACCAAATGTTGTCAAGTTTTATGAACTCATGGCCAATTCAAATATACAATCTTTACAAAAACTATGTACATTTATTTCAAAAATATTTGAGACTGTCTGTCCTTCTTAGCTGTCCTCCTGGTATTTTCTTTTTGCATATACTTTATTATTACATGTACTATATGTACATCCTCTCTACATGCAGTTGTAAAATATTTATTTACGTATATATATTTATATTAATTATTTATATGTGTGTATATTTATACTAATGTACCTCTGACGACATTATAGACATTGTATATACTTTATGTTCCTCATGTACCATGCTGTATGGTTTGAGCGAATAAACTGATTCTGATTCTGATTCTGTTAAATATTTCTAACTTGTCTCTTGGGATCAGTTAAATCTTTATTTCGTGTATAGTATCTTGATGTCACAGGCACCTGACGTTACTTATTTTTCTTTTGATAAAAAATAAATAAACACATAGCACAGGCACCTGACGTTACTTATTTTTCTTTTAATGAAAAAAATATACATACCTAAATAGTTTATTATTAGGTATGTGTATATTTTTTTTATTAAAAGAAAAATAAATAACGTCAGGTGCCTGTGCTTGATGTGTGTTCTCGTTTCTTTGGGACTATATCTCGTATATATTCTGGTACATCACAATTATTATAATTAATATTAATTTTGAATATTGTAATCATTTTTGCCTGGTATAACGACGGTTTTTCAATGGTACCCACCTCCAAAAATGCATTCTTTTTTTTTGGGGGGGGGGGGTAGGAGGGAAGTTGTTTTGTATTCAATAAAAAAAAATATATAAACACATACCCATTATCATGTGGATTTATTTTATTAGTTTTTTTCCTTTTGTGTGTTATCTTATTTTTATGATAAATTTTCTGCGAGTACAAAAATTGTCACAGATATTTAAAAAAAAAAATATTGCTCCGCAATGATATTTCCGTTAAAATCATGATTGATTATTTTTTTTTAATTGAACTTAAAAAATTGATTAAAATCAAATGTTACGCAAATAGACAACAGAATAAGATATTACGATTGTATGCCATAGAGGTAAATTATAATTACAAAATTTTCGATTAATCACACATTAATATGTAATATTTTCATTACCCCTGCATCGTTTAGATGCCAGATGGGATTTTTTTTAACTGATTGCAATTTTCTAACTTAATTGTAATGAATATAGTCATTAGAGGTCATTTATTGCATGGGTTGCACCCCATGATCATTTAATTTTACAACCTAATTATATGACCTCGTGAAGATTCATGCAGAGCCTGCTGCTATGAATTTATTGCATTGAGATATATTATATATTTTTCTCAGTTTCACATTAATGTGTTGAAAGTGATAAAATGTAGTATAGATTAATGCCACCAGAAAGGCAGACTTTTGAACATCAATTAACTTTACAATTCATATATCTATATTATTATTATTATTATTATAATTTTTTTTTTTTTTTTTTTTTTTTTTTTTTTTTTTTTTTTTTTTTTTTAGAAATTCGGTATCTGCATTATTTATAACCTGTAAGTACTTCTCAATTATTGGAAAAATATTTCTCCAAAATAGATATTAAAGAAATCAGAATTAAAGAGCTTACGAATTCAAATATATAAAATCTAAACTAATTCTATTCATTTATTTAAAAAAAAAATCGGAACTTCAGAACTTCGTATAACTGAAATTGGTCGTCCTAGATTGAAATCTTACTGTCTAATGGATAACAAAGAAAGAGGTGTCTATTAAAAAAAAAACTTTAAAGATAAACTCATGTTTATAACAGATACTGGTATTTGATTCAGTCTCTTTGTTTTTTATTTAAGTAAAAGAAAATAAAATTTACATATGAAAATTATTGATAGCTAATATTGAATTTAAAAAAAAAAATCAGAGGAATATGATGAAATATACAAACTGCATAATACATTCAAATATTTTCATGGCATCTGATATACATGTATTCAGATAGGAAAAATACACGTTAGAGAATGTATTACTAAGTGACCAACTAAGTGAGGCCGAAACGACTAGGACCGAAACAACTTCAGGCCGAAACTACTAGGCACCGAAAATGCTTAGGGCCGAACTTGAAACAGGCCGAAACGACTAGAAATCCATGTAAATCTCATCACCTCCCCACTGCGCTACAGCTGTTTAATTAACCAGTGAAAATTGGACAGAGATAAAAACATCACATAAAATACTAGTACACAGACGAAAAAAAAAATAGTGTGTAAGAGTGTAAATATGTGTACGGGTAGGAGAAAACATCACATAATAACTCCCTTACAATTTAACAGCATGTTAGAAGGCAGTTCTGCAATCTTATGCATGTTCTCAATGAAAATACTGTAAAATCTTTAGCTGGGTTTTATAAACCACTTTTTAACAGGAAATTCCAATTAATGCAATAATCTTGAGGCAGATGTTGAATGCTAATTACCTACAGTTCATATCTTCGCTGTAGAACAGCAGTGTAAAAAGAAATGCAAACATGCTTCAAGAAATTTGATAAAAAGTATCAGACTTAATCGCATGCGAAGAATTGCATATCATGAACATTTTCTAAGAGATGTAATTAAGAAGTTGAATCTTGGAAGACAATTGTGTTCACTAAATTATGCTATACAGTAGATCTTCAGCAATTCATTAAAATTTTCAATAATCTTGGTAATGATAAGACAGTGCCAAAGAGCATACAAGATATTTTTCCTTTTATCAAGCTAGTGTAAATCAAGATATGGACAGACAGAATTTCAAAATTTTTAACCACAAAGTAAAAATAATCATGTGAATATATCAGCTGAAATATATTGCACAGAAATGTAAGAAGAAATTGATTATGTATAAAAACTGATATAGATTATATTATACACTGTAAGATGATTTTAATGACTTTTATATGTATGAATATGATTAACATCAGATCCATGCTGTTTTTGTAAGGAAACTATGTGAAATAGCATACCAGAACCACTACTCTTGGCTGCAGAAAAAGGAGATGGTAAAATAAAAAAAAAAATCAAGTGAATTTGGCTTACACAATCATATCAGAAAGTGAATACTTGAAATTATTGGAATTTTTTTTTAAGAAAAGAAAAATCTCTAAAATTGACATTGATCCGTTTGATGTTTTGTAATTTTTAATCTGCATTTCTTTTGTCTCATTTATCTATTGCTACACTACAATAAAATTTTAAAAAGGAAAAACTTCTGAATTTTGCTTGGATCGAATCTCTATTACAGTACTGATTACATGCATATTATGCATCAATGTGAATTATTAAAAAAATCAATTTGAGTGTAAAATTCATTTCATCATTTCCTTAAACTGAAATGAATCATACTATGTTCTAAAGGTGATTAAAACTGAATTCTTAATTATAATGAAATACATTCCAAATCAACATATTATTCAGGTACAGTATGAGTTAGTAAACTTTTGTTAGTACTTTCGGAGTGTAATTTCAAAAAACAGACCACATGTCACCGTACAGACATTTTACCTTTAACGATGACCTCCCCGACATGTTCGATGTTTCCTAAGTCAGATGACGCCACACACGTGTAGTTCTTACTCTCTGTGACGTTTTTAAGTTGGAGGACATTCTTTCCTATGACAGGCTTTCCGAGTTCCGTGGCACCATCCCGCCACATAACGTGTGGCATGGGGGACCCGACCGCCACGCAGGTCAGATTGACGCTGCCATTGGGGTCCACCTCCACTCTCTTTGGTGGGAGGGTAAAATGAGGGGGGACTCTACGTACTGAAAAAAAAATCAATTTATTATAGCTATGCTTTATGTCAAGTAAAACATAACATTTAAGTGTGGGCTTTTTGTAGTTTTTTGTTATAAATTCTTAAATGTAATACTGAAAAATGACAAAGAGACTGCCATTAAAATGTATAGGCTTCAAGTAGTAATAGAAATACTTCAATAGAGCAAAACTCTCTGAACATTCAGTATCTGCCACTGAATCAATCTTCAACAGTAGCAATCTTCTAAAAATTCTAAGATAAATGTTACTTAAGCTTTAAGATAAGACTACTTGGCATCAAATAATATATGGAGGTGTGTTTTTTAAACCGAAACCCCAAAAAGATATCATAATTTGATGATGGTAGATTCAACATAAAATATATTAAATTCAAATCAGCATGATCTATTACCATGTTGAAGTAGAGCTGGCAATATGCTGGAATAAGACAGGGGTGTGTTCTAAGATTACCTGATATTACCAGAGTCTTTGAATACACCTAGCATATGTTACATCACAAATAACCCCTGATATCTAGCACACTGTCTGTAGGATGCTCTGTTTATCTTAAGATCTGGTAGCATGTTAAGTGTTAACCCACTTATACTTTTCAAGTATGGGGAAGTGGACAAAAGAACAACCCATCAATTTTTATCTGAATGTGTATATAGGGTAATGTAGGAGAGAGAGGGAAAATTGGTTCTTAAATGCCCAGTAGCAAGAGAAAAAGAAATGAAAACTTTTTAGTAAGGAGTAACATTTTTATGATAAACAATATTCAAAAAACATAATTTTACTTCTTCAATATATGGTTTTGTTTCTCTAACAGAGTTCTTATTGTTTATTCTTTTTGTATTCAAGAGGAAGAGTTCTGTAGAACTACTTATGTCAAAACTGACATGATGGGTGTGATCATGAAACATTGTTGTCTACCTTTTATCTGATAAAGTCCGATTGTATCTAACCCCTAGGTTTAACAATCTTGTAGTCATAAGGAAAAAATGAAGAAAAAAAATATGAAAAGTCTGATCGTGATAGCAGACAGATGTTCCTTAACAATATTCTTATCTAGTCATCCTTCATTAAGTGTCATGCCAGACAAACAGAAATATTGGAGAATTGGTTCAATGTACATATTGCAAAGCTCTGTCCAATCTAAGGGAGGAAACTCCATAATTATCTCTGTAGCAAAATATTGGTCTACTGCCATTGGAATCTTATTCAACTTTAGCCCATAAACATTATTCGTTGTTTAACAATTCAGCCTAATTGACGGGATCAAGATTTTCATTCAGACTTTTCTCTCCCCCTCAAAGAAATAATCATTTGTTACGCAATTCAGAATTTTTGATTTCAAGAGCCAACTCTTGTGTAGTTGTAAAAATTGAGTTGTAAATTGGCATTCATTTTTTTTTTCTCTAAGGATTTCTCTTTTTACCTCAGCTGCCACTATAATGATACACACCTCTGATGTACAACATTGCAGCGTAAGAATAAGCTACTCCATAATCATTGGTAGCTACACATTCATACTTTCCATAATCTGATTCTAGGGCCTTGGCGATACGTAAAGAACCTGAAAAACAAATGGTTGTTCAATTAATAGAAAACAAACAGATTTCCAAATGTTAATGTTTCAAACAAGCTATGTAATACAATTCTTGACTGATACATATATTTTATTTCCTAAGGAAAGGGAATTTACTGTCATAAAAGAAAGGGGTGGGAGTAAAGTGCTAATTCTCCAAGGGCTTGATCTGAGTATCAGATATTATTAAAAAGGTGCATTTATTACATTTTCAACTGTGAAATACTGTAAATTATCCACTGAATAAAAGTGATATCCTGTCACAGTGTGAAAGGATATCAAAATGATATCCTGTCACGGTATGAAAGAATATCAGAAGTGCGGGAAAATTCTCGATCTTCCTTCCCTTCTACAAAAGTGTTGTAAAAATACTTTTAACCTGTTATAAGTTAGAAAACGAGTTTATAAATCATTCTGTCATAAAATAAAACTGTGAAAGTTCCCCAAATATGTTGCTGAAATTCATGTTTACAATGTTTTTCACTTAGCTATGACGTCTTAATCGTTCAACTATGACGTCATGTACTTAAGACTGCATAACAAAAAACACGTAGGCAACCGGAAAATCAAAGAAAATGTAATAAACAGAAAATTCAATGTTTTGTAGTTGAATATGGAATTTATTTCACTCATGAGACAGGATTTTTTTATATTTTCACTCGTGCTTCACACTCGTGAAAATATCAAAAAATCCTGTCCCACTCGTGAAATAAATTCCATATTCAACTACAAAACATTGAATATCCTCTATGTATTCTTAAACATATGAAATTTACTGTATTTAATAATGTAACTATCTAAGTGGTTTCATTTGCCTCTTTAAAAACAATATCTGTCCTTTACAATTTTTAACTTGAGCTATTTTTCTGATTTCTAAAAGTTAAAAAGGTTTCATGTTACTGAATGACCCACAAATAGATTTTAAAACATATATTTTTAGACAATGAAAAACAATAAAGATGGTGCCTATCCTTAAAGGTTACTGACTCAGTTTGATTCTACTGAAGTTAACAACCCACAGAATCATTATGAGTCAAACCCCTCAAGACATACAATATTTAACAGGTACATGCTATGCTTTGATATATTTACATTGAAAACAATTATCTTCTGGGGAAATTTTTTCTTTATTATTAATGAAAAGATCTACAGAATTTTTGTACCCTAAAACCAGAATATGTGTTTTAGGGGAGATTCCCTAAGATTGAAAATACTATGCCGGGTCACTTAAAACCAATAAAGGGTGCAAAAATTGTAAAATGTGACCTTATCAACAGATAATTTGACTCATCAACAGTTCATCCGTGGTTTAGATTTTTTCTGTCTGGTAAAATATATTCTAAGAATTTTCCCCAGAAGTTATAAAAGGTAGTTTATAGCAAAACAAAAATCCTTATTTAAAATCTTGTATTTCATTTTTCTGACACCTAAAAATTGTTCCTGATTAAAATTTTGTACTGATTTATTATTGTATTGATGTTACAGAGTACAATGTATCATTTTTCTGACACACAAGTACCTGTTTCTGTGATTGTGAGCCGTTTGTTGTCACCCAGGTCTACAGGGACACCATTTTTGAACCACTCGATATCAAACTTGTGTCCATTAGCATCCGCTTGACACTGCATAATGGCAGGTTTCTCTTTCTCAACAGATTTTAGCTCTGGATTTACAATGATTTTGGGATACCCTGCTGGAAATTCTGAAAAAAACATGAGGGATTTTAAAAATAGGTTATCTTTGGCTTTCTTATTTAATGATAAATAGTGAAATAACTCCTTCTCTAAATAAGCTAACCCATATTCTGGTGTTAACATTTTAGTACGTGCAAAATTCCACATTCAACTGAAAAAAAGGTGTCAGAATCCCTCCATCTATGACATTTGTTTGACAACTGAATGTTTAGTATCTCTAAAAAAAGATCATTAGTGAATAGAAATCTATATATTGAGGTATATATACCATTAAATTCATTTTTAGAACAAACTTAGATGAATAGTTTTGCACTCATCAATGATAAAACTCATGATTAGTTTAAAAATCTTGCTGAAAAATGTTTTCTTAACGTGATAACAAAATGCCAACTTGTAGGAAGAAAATATATACATGGAAGTAAGATTTTTGATAGGGATGGTCCAGAAGAAAGACAGAGAGCAGGGAATTATGGGTAGATTGGGTAGATGGGAGGATTATGGGAAGGAAAATATAGGCATCTCTACTTGTCAAACAACAGTGGAAAACTGCAGAAAGTATACAAAGTTTGTCTTTTACGGTGCAATTATATAAAAGACCACATCTATTCAAAATTTGAAAATATTTGAAAAAAGCTGAAATAGCTGACAATTGCTCACCTGAGAGTTTCTAACTTATGAAATTGCTGAAATATAAACCAACCAATTGCATAAACTACATGTAGTTGCAACAAATTTTATTTAGGAAAAATTACAGGAATTATTTCTCTTTAAATATCACCTATTTAAAACTCCACAACAAAATTTGGAATTTATTAATTATGATTTTAATGAAAAAAAATATTTTTATAATGCCTTAACTGTCTTGTGTAATGGGCACCTTTAATCTTTGTAGCTCATATACAACCCTACATTCTCAGGTGAGCAAAATAATCTACAGTACCTTAAATAAAGTTCTTGTGTTGAATTTGAGTTATCTCTCTTGGCTCACGACAGTTGTGAGCCAACTTTTACGTTACAACACTTATTCAAGATGCAAATGAAAAACAGATAAAGAAAATCGTTGTTTTTCTCCATCTTGGGGTTGAGAATTTGGATCCATTAGAATAAAAAGCAAAAAGACATCAATAGCTACCTTTATAAGTTTTTTTCCATTTAAGTATTTCACCTGAAATTTATAGCAATCTTTTTTCTAAGGATGAAAAAGCATTAGTTTCAAAAGCATTATAAAATTCATTAGGCAAATTAAATTATAACAAATCAATAGAAGTTTTATCCATATTCTCTAAATTATTTTCAAAAATCACATTTAGATCTATATCCAGGACAGCCATATCATAAACTGTAAAATGATATGTAAAGCATGTCATGTATACTTTTTTTTTTTTCCAGAAAGGCACTTGAAAGCATAATTTGTTAAGCCCAAACTTTCAAGCTTACTAAGATTATTTATAAATAAAAAAATCTCGCAAAATGTGCTTCTTTTGTGAGAAATCTCATTAGACAAGGTCATTTTACTTTATATAATAAAAAGTAGCTGCAATTTTTATGACAATTATACAATTTAACTAAGATTAGAACTGATGACTAACTCCTCTCATAACATTTTGTTCTATTCTTCCTCTAAAGAAGTCATGACTAGAGCTTTGATTTCCATGGTAACTGAGACAAAATCAATACATGGCGTATAGTGCAGCATAGGCAAGTTTGACAATGCAGAGAACAATTCTAATGACCAGTTCCTTTGTCTGCCCAGTGACAGACGGAAAACTGGGTTTCCTACTGGGACGGGGTAGGGCGTCATTTTGATAGATTTCATTCAGACCTCTAACACTGGCCAATAATATCTAAGAGTACATTCATAGAAAAGTTATTGCTTTACAGCCATATTAAACATATATTAAAGTGCATATAACTTCTATTTGATTTGGCCAATTCTAGTAACGGTGAACTAAGTACATTGGCACTCCCCTTGTCAACAAATTCTGACAAATTGATGGCCTTTTAATTGTCATAGCAGTTCCAATGCATATTTAAAAAGCTCAGCTGCATGACTAATGTGAATGCTGCAGAAACTGAACATTCAGGTCTAAATACCGGTAAATATATATGCAGAAGGATCACATATTGATTGACTAATTGCTCTGTTAACGGAAATAAAAATTTCTCAGTTAGTGAACTACACATTTATTGTTGCTGAAAGAAATCGCTTTAATTAAGAATCATTGATGTGTCAAAAATATCATCGGTGATATTCTCCTATAAGTTCTATGTGTGATTCCTTTACATATGAAATTTGTCCCTCAGGACTTCAAATTGTCAACCTTTCATATAACTATATACATGCTCTGTGAAATATTTTGTTACTGCATGTATACAAGCAAGAAGATGAGATGAATTGAAAGTTACTTTGAGCAGGTTGTGAATGCAAAATTTTGAGTTTATTTGTACAAGAATAAAGATATAAATTATGAATTCCATTTTACAGCAATGGGCATGCAAGCAAAAATTTTAAGTTTCATTGAAACATCATGAAGATGAAAAAAAAATTGAATTTCACTGTTGTTACGAAGATGCAAAAAATTTTTGTTGCAGGATGAAAATGTAGAATCGGTTGTTCCTTCAGAATTGTTAGTTTCTTAAGACTTTTGAAAATTATGGAGATGGTTGATTTTCAGTTTTTTGGTATATTAAAGATGAAATGGCAAAATATTTTTTAAAAAATTGCACATTGAAAAGATGCAGTTTTGAATTCCTTTAAAGAATGAATGGACAAGAAACACAATTTTGAGCTTCATTTGCTTCGGAATGAAGATGCAAAATTTTGAATTTCATTTGCTTCAGAATGAAGATGCAAAATTTTGAATGGCCAAGCAGTACTTGACTACAATTAAAGATAAATGCAATACAATGCTTACTTAATAAACAGCTGATGTTTTGCTTACTTAATAAACAGCTGATGTTTTTTTCTATTTTATGCAAGTGTATGATTTCTGTTAATGTTTGTACAAATCAATTTAATGCACAAAAAGAGCACCAGGAGAGTTTTCCCAAAGGGAGATAACTCCCAATCCTCATTAAAAAAAAGCTTGTCAAAAAATTGATTTCAGACGTTATTTGGTCATAAAAATCATAGCAATTTATACTCATAGGGAAAAAAATAAATAATTTTCAAGTAAATTCTCAATATTCTTCTCATTATATATTGAGCCAATGCCATTCTGCTGTGTGAAGATCTTTGACAAGACACACGCCTCATCAGGGTCAAAAGTTGATAAAAGAAAAATAATAATCCCCGCATATCCCCGATCATCCAGGAACAAAGCTACTCTCTTGAGATGTATAAAAAAAGATCAGGTCTTATAGTGCCGTCTGCTTCAGTGGAAATCAATCCACCTGATAAAACATGAAACACGAAAGATATTGATATTTTTACCCGTCATGTGTGCTTGTTTTTCTCTAGTTCTTAAGATTGATATTTAGCAATCATAAATGCTTATTTTTTTATTAATTTTACACACTTATAATAGAAGATTTTTTAGACTAAAAAAAAACTTTTTAAAAAAAACAATGTGTATTGAAGACAATTTTTCACCATTACTTTGGCCAAAAGTAATAAAAAAACTTGTGCTTAATCATACACATTGAATTTCTAATGTGTTTTCCAATTCTATAATGGGTATTAAAAACTTGAAAGGCAGCTAAACACAGCATCAAACTATCAGACTAGATCAAGGGATATTAATCCTCCAATTCTGGCATCATGATCAAGCCAAGTTTATATATGCATTTGGAGGGGGGTCTTAATAAACCAAGTCAATTTTTTTTAAAATTGTCTATCTATGAACTTACAATATTTAGATTGCAATATGGAGCAGTAAATATGCTGATGATTGAAACTTTCAACAATTTTCTCCAAAACCCCACTCTTTCTCAAAATAAAATTCTTATACAAAAGTCTAATTGGTATGAGATGTAGAGTATAGTGACCAAGCCACATCACAACTTCCAAACCACACAGTAATCAACCCCGACCTAATGTCTTCTTACCATTTCCTTCCCTGTCAATGGGGTAAACCTTCAGATGCCCCGTACTCCTAGCTGGATCCCCCACTCCATTCTCCGCCACACAGGTAAAGGAACTCCCACTGTCCTTCTTACGAACGGTCTCAATCCTCAAAACACTGCCATACGGCATATCAAATACTTTGAATCGGTTCCTCCTTATGTTTAGTTTTTTCCTGTCTTTTTCCCAGTAAAACGTAGGTTGTGGATTTCCAGAGGCTTTACAGACAAAACTGACCTGATATTCCTCAGCCACGGTCAGATTCCGAACCTCCTGGGTAATTTGTGGTGCAACTACAAAATACAATGGGAAATCATGGATAAGTTACGATTCTCTTGACATGATTCACCTTTGTGGAGACACTATACATACATGCTTGTTAAGACATACATGTTAAAAACACAGGCTCTAGCTGAGACAGCTTAAAACTTTCAAGGCATTTTCATACACCTTGAGGAGTTTTGCAAAATTACTATTATACAGTGTACATGTATTATGTATCAATCTAAAGTAGTCTGTATGCTGCCTGAATTACAACTGATGATTAGTTTGAGGTACTGGTTCTCTGTATACCTGTAGAAGTACTTAGTGACATTCATATTTAAACTATTCTCAAGATTTTGTCTTTACAATGCATTCAACGACCCCCTCCCACGTAAGTTTTATAGATTTTACTTTCTCTTTTTTATTTTACAAGTATATTCAGTGTATGAAAATGCCTACAACTGCAAAAACCTAAACACTACATCATCTTCATACTTTTATATTATTCGTTATGCAGCAGGCTACACTCATTCTCTTTGTTATCATTATATAATTTTCATGATGCCTTTCACATGACATTCACAAACTCAATATCTCATTACATAATACAAAACTGTAATCTAACTTTCTTTACATATGACATAATTTGAGAAAAGAATTGCAGCATTTTAAAACATGTAACAGCTAACAAAGTTACAAAAGAAGTTACTTGTTGTTATGAAAGAAAACTAGTTTGCAGTATGCAAAATCCAAAGATTACACTGTAGATTTACAATATAAAAGTATATGCAATAAAAAAACATAGGTATATCAGAGATTACAGAGCTCACCTCAACGAATGTTGTCTTTAAGTAAGGCAAAGTCACACAATTAACCAAAAAAAAAAGTGTACATTCCAAAAATGAAAATATTTAAGCAATTTTGATCTGATACTTTGAAATAGACCTACATAAAAAATTTAAACTAGTTCTTCTTAATGAAAATGTAATCAAAATCCAGCATCTGAAGCAAATTTGAGATTTTCATCTCTTGATGCAACATTTGTGCAAGTTCGGTTTATACTATGTTATATGAGCCTTATAGGTTTTTGGTAATAGACCTGCAACCATAACTTTTACCTGGTCTATTATCTGAAAAATGTATGTCAAATTCAGCATCCGAAGCAAGTCCATTAGTGTGCATCCTAAGATGTATCGTCCATGCAAGTTTGCTCATTATAGGGCTCATAGTTAATTGGAAATGAAACATGTATTAAAAACTAACATTTTCAGTCATCCACAAAAAGTAGGTCAGATTCAGCATCTGAAGCATGCCTGGTAGTATGCATCCTTAGATGTATCATCCATGCAAGATTGGTCAACATAGGACTTATAGTTACTTGGAAATGAAACCTGCACCAAAAACTTTAACCTGTTCACTCAACCAGAAAATGTAGGTCAGATTCAGCATCCGAAGCAAGCCCAGTAGTGTGCATCTTTAGATGTATCATCCATGCAAGTTTGGTCAACATAGGGCTTAAAGTTACTTGCAAATGAAACCTGCACCAAAAACTTTAACCTGTTCATTCAACTGGAAAATGTAGGTCAGATGCAGCATCCGAAGCAAGCCCGGTAATATTCATCCTTAGATGTATCATGCATGCAAGTTTGGTCAACATAGGGCTTAAAGTTACTTGCAAATGAAACCTGCACCAAAAACTTTAACCTGTTCACTCAACTGGAAAATGTAGGTCAGATTCAGCATCCGAATCAAGCCTGGTAGTATCCATCCTTAGATGTATCATCCACGCAAGTTTGGTCAACATAGGACTTACAGTTACTTTGAAATGAAACCTGCACCAAAAACTTTAACCTGTTCACTCAACCGGAATATGTAGGTCAGATTCAGCATCCGAAGCAAGCCCGGTAGTATGCATCCTTAGATGTATCATCCATGCAAGTTTGGTCAACATAGGGCTTATAGTAACTTGGAAATGAAATCTACACCAAAAACTGCACCAAAAATGTTAACCTGCTCCAAAAACATTAATCTGGTCATTCCTTTGCTGAAACTGCAGCATCTGAAACTTTGAATGGTACAATGAAACACAGTAGAACCATCTTCCATGCATGTCTAATCAATATAGGACATAAAAGTACTTAAAAAGAAAACTGCTCCAAAAAACTTGACCTTAACCTGGGACGCCGACGCCGACACGGACGCCGACGCCGAGGGTATTACATAAGCTCCCCCAACTTCGTTGAGGTGAGCTAAAAATGCTAACATGTGTCTACAATAAGACAGAGTAAAAAATTTATTTTAATATTCAGACAATGTTGACTTGTGAATACAACATCAACAAAATATGTTGCCTAAAATCATCCTTCAAAGAGCAAATCTAGTAATCAATCAATAGATTTGAATGTCATGTTAAATATACAGTAAAACAAGTAGCTTTATTCAGGAGAGAAATAGGTTTCTTCTATTCAATTAAATAAAGTCATTAATCAAGAAGCCGGCTGGGGCTCATTTTTTCGTTTTCCATTTAAAGTTGTAGGAAATCAAGCTGCCACATCAATGTCACATACATAAATGTTAGACTACAAACCCTGACAGGCAGACAGAGGGAAACAAATCAATTCAAATCTAACCCTATTCTTCTTCTTCTGCTTGGTTCTTTTCTTTCTAATTTATTTGATACACTGGATAAATCACTTTCATCTCCTGTTAGGGTGATGTTAGGGTGATATAGGTCACCACCAACATATGATAGAAAAAAGTTTGATGCCCATTCCCCGTGGCTCTTCCCAAAGGCGACTACCGGTATTGGCAAGTTCAGATCGACATACCATGCACTAAGTAGTACAACGGATGGGTGTATACAGTTCAATTTCAGGTGAATTCATTTCATTTAAAATAAAGAGAGACAAATTAGGGTAAGGCCCCAGTTTGACTAGCTATGTCACAGCTCCTGTGATACTGTATGTAACACCTAGATTGCATATGTTCATGCTCAATGTATGAGTGATTAAAGAAAATGTCATTGGTTAAATAGATATTGAATTTACTAACCTTTCTTCCAAGGCACTTCATGAGTACACAACAGTTTCCCATATTTTAAGCACATTTTAAAGGATTCTTATTTACAAAATATAACTGTGTATTTTAAAAATTGTACGTATTTCTGATACCCACCTCCCTTTAATTTAGTAACAGTAAATATTGCTTATAAGAACCAAGAAGAGAAATTTGGGATTTTGAGATGCTTGCCTCTGTCTGTATCGGGCTGTGCAATATAACATCTATATATCTATGACACAGACATGCAACCCATTAATGTGACTTTGTGTGCATTGAAATTCATAAATATTTAATGAAAATATTCAGCATCAAGTCACACAAATTGTAGCACTCAGAAAAGTTGTCCCCAGCTTAATAGAACGTAACTTTTGTTCTTGTGATTATCAAGTTCACCATAATGCAATAAGAGGAAAATAATAGAAAAAGCACTATGATGTACTGATGCCTGTTTGGTGTTTATCAAGTAACATATTACACAGAACTTATCAAATATTCATTTTTTACGTCACGGATATGACTACTGAAAATAACAGGAAACCTGATGTCTAAATTATTTTCATTGATATATATATTTTTCTAGATAAGATTTTTTTTAAAGTTTGTTATCAAAGTGAGTAACTAATTTTGATAGCAACAGCCCTGGAAATCTATATCATAAATTTTAAAAAATTGAATTTCACAAGCAATCTCTCAAAAGATCAAAAGTTAGGCTCTATCAATCAAGGAGGAGGTAACTCTCTGTAACTTACTTCCTGAACTAATTGCTATCATCTGGGACTTACTATTTAAATGAGGCAAAAAATGGAAGAAGCTGTACGTTCCTGTGGGATTCAAAAAAATATTCCATTGTATTTACCTATAGGTTACAGGGCTGCACAATTCTATGTACATGTACATTTGTTTTTAATATAAACTCGATCGACCTTGTATACAATAAAGTTGATTTTATGTTTTGTGACAGATATGACATAAAATGGGATTGCTAAAACTTAAAAATATTAAATGTACTATAAATGAATCGTAATGAAACAAGAGGTACTGTGAGCAATGTGCTCACTAAATGATACACCCGCCTCCCTTATATGAATGGTTATAATGCCAAAGTATGTTTTGCACTGGGAGACCCGAAATAAGTGTCAGCTAGATCAAGAAGTTAAATAGGATGTGCACAATGCATTATGTAATAAATATCAGGTAGCAAGACAGATTAGGCCAGGTTAAATTAAGTTTGTCCTTGTAAGCATCTCAGTTTTTTTAGATTTCAAAATATCATGGATGTCCATGGAATATATTTTGTGAAGGTGGATGAATCGGTCTCCAGCATCAGAATTTACAATGTGGAGGTGGACTGAACAGTAGAGCTTATAAACAGCACCATAATAGATAATTACCATAATTTTAAGAAATTAGACAATATCTACAGTATAGCCTATATATGTCTAGACAGATATTGACAGGTGACTTCACTACTGGTTGAATTCTGAATATGACCCTTTGGAATGGGAGGAGAGGGTTTATCAGGCTCATCCGACCTGTGTTCACAGATCATCAGAAAGCCACCCTCACTATCTTTTGTCAATATGATGAGAGAGCGAAACCTGTATAAACACAGTAATGAGGATTAAGCTAACAGATCAATTATTAGATCCATTTCAGCCATTATATATCTTTTGATGAAAATAAAAATTGGCTGCCGCTGCTGCAGGCTTTTGTGACAGGAACATGCATTGCTTATTAATTGGCTTGTTTGGTACTGCTACGGAAAAACGGAGACATAATATGTGTGAATTCATTTGGAAAGCTATGAGTCACGAGAAACAATCCATTCCTCAAATAAGTTACAAAATCCCAGTCACATACCTAAACCGTTTAAACGGAGACTCCTATCTAGACCACAAATCTTTTGGCCCACATAATATAATACTTAGGAGTTCAAAGCCAAAAAAATATTGAGATAAAATGCAAGCAT